AACCTATACAACTGACGTATGTTAAACGTTTCTCAATGATTATGCAATATGATAGTACTCATTTGCATGAACAGCATATCCTCTTCTCAAAGACAGTCAAATCTCAAGACCACTGATCAGTACCTGGCTTTTGATTCCCACCACCCTTTGGAACACAAACTAGCAGTGATCAAAACTCTCTTCCATCGTGCAGACAACATTGTCACTTCAGACCAAGCCAAAACGGACGAACAAAGACACCTCCGAGGTGCCCTGGCTAAATGTGGCTACCAAAACTGGACTTTCAACAAAGCGCTCAAACCTTCAGATCAGTCTAAGAAAACCCAGAAGTGCAAACCATTGACCAACAAAAACAAGGCCAACATCACTATTCCGTATGTCCAAGGAGTATCTGAGAAACTCCGATGGATCTTCCAAAACTTCAACATAGTCACTAACTTCAAACCTCACTCAACCCTCAGACAAAGACTGGTACACCCTAAGGACCGACCTCACAAAGGTACCAAGGCGAATGTTATTTACAGACTCAAATGTGAGGAGCCCAATTGTAACAACACCTACATCGGAGAGACAAGTCGACCGATCAAAGTAAGATACAAAGAACATTGCCAAACAAGGCAAGACGTACTGCTGGAATGCTCTGCGCCCTTCGAAAAAAGGTGCCCAAGACCATACTACTACAACTGTACAAAATCATTGTCAGACCAGTTCTAGAATATGCTGACATCGTCTGGGGTGGTCTCACCATGCGTGATCAAAAGACCATCGAATCGGTCCAATACCGGTCAGCCAGAGTGATAAGTGGACACCACGGGATTCCTTATCCCTCTCACAAATCTCTCTATTCTCAGTTTGCCCTCCCTTCACTTTCTTACCGTCGTAAGGTTCACGCAGTGACCACTCTGTACAAATTGAAGAATGGTCACTGCCCGCCCCACCTAGCTAGTTTATTACCTGTTACCAGGACATCCGCCATACACTCCAGATACCCCCTCAGAAATGGAAATAATCTTTGTGTACAAATCCCCAAAAGCTCCAGAACACAGAATGCCTTCCTCCACAGAGCCACCCTCTTATGGAACTCCCTCTCAGTTGACATTCAATCGGCCCCTACACTGTTTTCTTTTAAAGCTAAAGCATGGAAATCCTTCGGGGATCCATATTCTACTTAACTACACATCACATTTGTGTCACCTCCCGACTTAACAGTTGTACATATTATCTCCGAGTCGGCAACTTTGTAAATACATGGACTCTACCACCCAAACAATATGTATTTCATAAATGTAAGCACATATTATTCTTATTGTATTTGGATTGTAATATGTATATTTATGTATGTATAACGTTTCTTCTTACTCCCCAGGGTGTCCCTTAATAATAGTCTCTGACTAGTTGGGACACCCTGGCTTCTTTGTAAGCCAAATAAATAAACATTGCCGACCTAGTGCCAACGGCTACTCCTCAGCTATATATTATATTTTCCACCACCTATAACACAACCAGGGTCACTCTTACAAACTCGAGTCCACGGATATTTTAGACCGCGAAACACGCTGGTGGGAACGGGGTGCTAAAGAGGCAATATATGAAAGAATGTACAACCCCACCCTCAACAGGGAAGGGGGGCTACGAGTCGATCTTTCTGGCACTTGGGATTTGGCACTCCCAGCCCCGAGGACAGACAACACTTAAGCTCCTGTTCTGTATAACAGGAGCTTTCAGACTAATTTGCATCAATTTGTCTTGACTTGTCTGACTTTTGTTCCTTTTTCGACTTCCAAAAATTTGTCTTCGCTTTATTTGCATATCAATCAACAGGTTGTACTTATAAACCTGCTTTCCCCTCTGGTCTCTCAGTCACTGACGAAAGCTAGTGGATACTAGCTGAAACGTCTGACGTTTTCAAAATCATATCCAGTTGCTTGAGTAACTGTTTTTTGGCATTATAAGTGACTTCAAACCTCACACTAGTTCCAGGTTCCCCTAACCAAATGACCGTGCCCAGTTCTTGTATACATCACAATGTCAGGATACAAGTGAACGGACAAACCTGGCTGGACTTAGAGTACAGTATCGTAGCCAAGAAGTCTGCAGAGGTGCCGGTGTAGATGAATAATGTAAGTAGCTGAGAGAACAAACTAAAAGACAGAATAACAAGTACCTGAGGGTAGAGCAAACGGTATTGCACATCCCGGTGTGACTGTGGACTAGAGCTATGCCCCAGCCACCAGCAAGTTCCCATGGCCTAGGAAAAAAATGTTGTGTTTCCTGTTTCAGTCCTGAAAAAAATTGGGTAGCTATATATATGGAATTTAATTTTTTTTTAGACTTTGGCAATCTCTAGTGATGCAACTTATACAATAGAGTTTAACAAAGTGGAACTTGCATGATGACACTTATATTTTCCATGTCAGAGTTGGAAAACTGATTGCACAATGTTTCACTAGCACTCGGGTGTCAAGTCATGGATCTAGAAGTGGTTAATGAGCTAAAAAAATTATGTCTCTTGCAGGGATCCACACAAAAAAAAGACTAGGGTCGGCAGTTTTTTCTAGGGTCGGTCGGGAATCAGGAGACACAACATTTTTTCCTAGGCCCAAACATGTCCTACCAAAAAATAAACGGTTTCCCAACTCAGCCAAGCCTTTTTATATTGACTGCTGGCTGGCAAGGCTATAAAATTTTTAAATCTGACATATGAATGTTAAACTCTCTGAAACCGTAGTTCCCTCATTTTCAGAAGCATTTTTTTCTTCAGTAAATCGATTGGGTTAAAAATATTCTGGAAATTAGGTCTGGAGACAGTTTGTATTTCTCGGATCATTTGAGCCAAAATATAAAAAAAAAAGAACCTGCCAACCTGATTTTTCAGGACTGAAACTGGAAACACAACACTAATTTTCCTAGGCCCAAGTATGCAACAGATAGAGCTTAAGTATGATAACATTTGACATTCTGAATACAAATAGCCTTCTAAGGACAAATACACCTTGTAGCTCCATCATCTACAAATTGTTATTGTTACATTATCGCTTGCTGGTGGCTGAAACCATTTTATTACGCAGTTAGAACAAATATAAAAATCAAACTTTGCACAAGCTGACTGAGTTTTGGAAACTTCTTCCATGTCCAATCTCCTATTGGTTCTTGTCATCAAATGCAATTTCAGACCAAAACAAAAAAAATGTTTGGATGAGGAAATCTGTCTGATAATGATATTGACATTTACTGCCACTTTTCAGAACATTTTCATCATTACATTTTATACTTGAAGCATTTGGAATACCGGGTAGCCCCCAAATAAACCCAAATTTGAATACTGGATTCGGATGTTGGAATTGATGTTGGACATGGAATTTTCTCAACTTACACCAAGTTGAATGCTACATGTATATGTACAAAACAGCTATACAGAAAGGTACAATACTGGGATTTCAGTGACAGTCAGCTGGTGCAATGTTGTAGTAAGAACTCACCCTGATACCGGAGCCTGTATTTGGCGCTGGGTCTCCAGTTTGAGGAGGCAGTTTGTTCCTCGGGGAAGACGGCAGATGGACCTCTGGGATCCCGTGCACCTGACACCACTCCAGCAGCCGCACGCCGGTGACCAGCTGGCTCGGCAGGTGCAGGTTTGTAGCTGAGGGCCTCAGCAGGCATGCTGGTGGATGCCGGTGGCTGACCTGTGGGAGGGGGGTGGGTTCCCGGCCCGTCGGGGTGGGAGGTGCCAAACAGGTTGAGGAAGGTGGCCGCCATGTCAGGCTGCGTGCCCTGCGCCAGGCGCCGGCCCGGCTTCTGCGGCGTGTACCCGTACCTCACATCAAAGATATTCTCCCCACCTGTGGTAGTAGACATGGGTGCAGGTGCACTGTGTGTGACAGCTGTGACGTGGTTAGTATCGTAATAGGAAACCTCGTCGCAGGCGTCTCCGCTGCCTGCCTGGGCTTCGGCGACACGACCTTGACTCTCTCCTCCCGGTGCCCTGTCAAGGTCAGCCTTACCTCCGTCATACTTGTCCACATCACCAGCGGCAGGGAAAGCCTGGGGGTCTGTGGAGACATCCTCCTCCTTACCTTTTAGTTTCCTGGGCATCACCTGATCAGAAGGGCTGGGCTCCTTGAAGATGTCGCTGCTCATGCGATCCTTGCGCTGCCTCGCCGGCTCCTGCGCTGCCGCCTCCCCGCCAAAAATGTCGGACTTCATCCTGTCGGCCCTGCCGGGCTGCTGGGATGGCGCCGTGCCGCCCGTGGTGCCAAAGATGTCCGACTGCATGCGGGTGTTGACTCTCCTGGACGGGGACTCCGTCTCCGCGGGCCCAAAGATGTTCGAGGCTGACCGCGCGCTGGTGGGCTTCTGGGAAGGGGCAGTCTGGGCGTCACCAGCTGGGCCACCGAAGATGCCGCTAGAGGAGCCGCCGGGGGGCTGCAGAACCCTGAGGAACATCAGAAACTCTCATTCAGAATCAACATACTTTTCAGTTACATGCAAGTTAATTATCCTTCAGTCTTCTCAGGCCTGAGTCTTCTCTTAGATATACATGTATGCACCAAGAAACATCAGTATCCAACAATATGCATCTTCTTATGATTTTTACATATTGGTGCACCTGAAAAATATAATTTGCGTGCCGGATGAATTTTAACAAAGACTTGAGAAAAATCATCCAGGAAAATAGGAAAGAATCACCCCGCTAGTACATTTTAAACTGAGAATAGCGGGTCTGTGATAACAACGTGACACATTACTTTAGCAGTGCCATTATTCCACAGTTGAAAGGGAACACTGATATGTTCAACATTGTACAATTGCATGTTGATTGTTCAGAATATTTTAAAATGCAGAACTTGCAATATTCCATCAGTGGTCGAAATACTTTTTTTCAGTGCTCTGCAATATTGCAGAAGAGTCCAAATTTTGTTCTGCAATTTGGAAACCCTTTCTGCAAATACACAAGCCTTCATACTACAACCTTCTCAAACCAATAATTCCTTTTTTACATCATATATAGCTTTGTAAATCTGTACAGTAGCATTACTGGACTGCAGGAGAATTTCAGGTTTATAAGCATGAACTATGGATTGATATGCAAATTAGTGAAGACAATTTTTTTGAAGTCCAAAAGGAAACAAAAGTTAGACAAGTCAAGACAAGGATGATGCAAATTAGTGAAGAAGCTCCTGTTGTTTCAGAACAGTCTGTCCCTGGGGCCTGGAAGTTTTAGTTTGCTAAATTGAAAACTAATGAATCTGGAGCCTATTTTTCCTTCTGCAAAATTGCAGATTGGATATTTTTTTCTTCTGCAATCTTGAAAATCCATCTGCAGATTGCAGACTGCAGGCAGGTATTTCGAACACTGTTCCATGTACTACTAACTAAGCTGAAAACAAGTTTTCTTGCAGGGCTCGAAAGTAATAGTGGTCCGATGGCCACTGATCGCTAAAATTTAGACCTGGACAACTAAAAATCACTTTGGGACATTTTTGGGCCAATAGAAAAATAATCAACAGTATACAGGCTAGTACCTAGGAAAGCCACACACAAACAAACACACACACATAAATACAAACACTACAGAAAACATAACCTTCTTGTGGCCAATCCCTTTTAGACTAATGTAAAACAGTCTTGAAGTTGAACAGAAAACTTTTCACACATCATTCAACATGACAAAGACAATCTGGCTTCCCAGTAATTTTCAACTCCATTGATTATTGACCTAAAATTCACCTCTATCTTCAAAGATGGGGTCCCAGGACATCAGGCTAATTAAAACCTGTTCACCTGGAAATCCATTTGATAGAATCCTTCACACGGACCTGTGAATTTTGCCTGGTTGTAATTTTTTTTTCATAACAGTGCATCTACTGCAATATTCTGATGTTAAAACTTGGATGGTCATAATTTCCAGGGCTCGAAACACTGGGTGCACCTTAGTGCACCCAAATTTGGAGCTGTGCACACAAAAATAATAGGTTACTAAGTTATTACCTTTGCCAAGAAGGTTATGTTTTCGTTGGCGTTCGTGAGTGTGTGTGTGAGTGAGTGTGTGTGTGTGTGTGTGTGTGTGTGTGTGTGTGTGTGTGTGTGTGTGTGTGTGTGTGTGTGTGTGTGTGTGTGTGTGTGTGTGTGTGTGTGTGTGTGTGAGTGTGTGTGTGTG